TAGTATGTGCTCAACAAATGCTTACTGAATAACGGATAAATCAATTTCAGCTATGTTTACGAACTTCCACTGCAAACATATTCTTAACAATCAAGAAATAATTTCAGGCCATTTTGGGGTACCTGTATCCTAGAGGCATCAATAATCTTTCTCTTTTCTATGAAAAAAAGTGTGTTTGTTACATTTGCACAATTAACACAAATAAGCCAATGAAACATATTCAAACCTCTGATTAAATTTAGCCACACATAATTTTGTCAGATAATTCATTTAAAACACGTTGCTCAGTCAGTTGGACAAAAAAGCACGCAATTTCTCTTCTCTTCTAAGAAAGCATTTCTTCAAAGATTTCTGTTTAAAACAAAGGAAGACTACAGATAGCTGTACCCTCTCCAGTTTACAAAACAGATTAACACTCATTCTTCTAAAAGATTAAGATGCAGAAGAAAACAAGATGTGTGGCAGGTTTGTGGTATGGGCTGTCCCAGAATGAATAACTGTGTAACCACAGGACACTGACCAGATTCCTGGGAAGTCCAGCTAAGAAACTGAGTGTATGTATTTACATACACAGATAGGACACATGCATGTGCTTACCATGACCTGAAGACTTAAATTCTCTAATTTGTTTTGTTGTTGTTTTTTTTTGTTTTTTTTTTTTTTTAGAATTCTTGCTGGGATATGTGGAAAGTTAAAATCCTTGCTTTTAAATCTCGAAACAAAGAGAAGACAAACACTAAGACACTCTTTTCAAAATTTTTGAGTGGAAAAAAAGTTGATTCTTATTATTTAGGCCATGATCCTATCCTTCTCATTTTACAAGTCAACTTCTGAAGTTAACACTGGAAACCACGGCCAAACTGTTCACATAATAATATGAAGACGTTTGAACACTCTTACTACAATGTGTCCATAGCAGTCCACACTCCACAGTTTAACAGTCTGATTGTAAAGGGTCTATGCCCTCTTCAGCTATAAAATTTCAATCAAGATTATTTTATGACTCTGTGGTAGGTAGCACTCTAAAATGTGTGACATGGGCCTGTGTCCCTAAATATCTATGTGGCTCTTGATTTAGTATTTATTTGGAGTTTGGACTATTTTATTGGTTTTCAAAGTGTGGTCCCTAGAACAGCAACATCAACGTCACCTGGAAACCTGTTAGAAATAAAAATCATGAGCTCATACTGAGACATACTAAGTAAGAAACTAGAAGGCCCAGCAATATCTGTTTTAACCTCCAGGTGATTCTGGTATGCAGGCAAGTTTAAAAACCTCTGGCTAGATAATCCTAAAGCCTTCTCAAACCATCAAAATCCATTATTATTAAATCAAATATATCTTCTGAAACTAGCACCACTTTCAATCGAGTGCACTCAATTATTCCTAGTAATCGGAGTAAAATCTTCTAATAAAAAATATCACATTCTATTAGTAGTTTTTAGACATTTGCTGCATTTTCACAAGGACATTTGTATTAGCAACTTTCCTAATTAAGTGGACAGTGTAACAAATATTAGAGATCATTTTAACTTACACTGGTGATCTCTAAATTAAATCTTTGTTTCCTTTAGAAGGTGGCTTATTCCAGCTATTGTGAAAAGTAAATCTATACTTTTGGTGACATCTTGCCTCTGTCTCTCAAGGTTGGCTGCTATGAGCAGTGTTCTCTCACTTTCCCATCCTACCTGCAAGAAATACTGAACTTTGACTCAAGAGGTGCAATCACACGCTGGAGAAAACATTTATGAAACTACCACAACAGGCCAAAGAAACGAAGCATTTTAGTATCCCCCTGCCACCTCCAAAAAAAAGGTTAACTCGTCAGGAAGCGTGAAGCCTCATACTTTTAAATAATTCTAACCCCAAGCTGATCTGGTTCTAAAATGTGATTCAGGGAAGTCTATTTCTATAGTTAACAACCCAGAAATTGTTTTAAGCCATAAATCCCAAACATGACAATGTTAGACTTCCAATGATGGTATCTTCCATTTTTCTAAGGTTCTTACTAAAGGACAAAAATAGACCTTTGAAATGACATAAAGCTTGGAGGACAGGGACCAAAAGGAAAAGCTGTTAAAAAAACAGCAGGGGCCAAGTTTAAATGTTAACTTTTGCTCTCCAAGATAAAGGTTCCTTTCCCACCCAGTTTCTGTTGGGGCAGGTGATTGCCTTATAGCAAACTCCCTTGCTTCCTTTAACACCCTCAAATCAACCCAACTTTTCCATGGAAACAAATGCTCCTATCTTTTCACACCATACTCCTACAAGGGGGCTCTTCCTGGCCAAAGAAGCGGACATATTCTTTAAAACAATGCCCTCAATCTCTCTCAATTTTGTCAAGAAAATAAGGGAGAAGGCTGCAAAACACAGAACTGCGACATTTCTGCTCCAGGCACACAAACAAAATTGCTTTCATTGAGAACCCAGAAAGCATTTATTTCACAGTACTCAGTAAAAACATATTAAAATCTTCTGCCCTGGCATCTCAGACCTATAAAGTATTTAGTCACGCAAGTGAATAAATCCTCTGTGAAGATGATTAATGGACCCATCAGCCTAGTTCGTTTCCAATTTGGCTTTTCAAATGTTTTCAAACTCCTTTCAGGAGCACAGACAGGTCTTAAGTGAGTCTGATACTGGCAGCACTTTATGTCAAAAGGTTTCCAAAAAACAAAAACAAAACCAAAAACCAAAAAACCAAAAAACCAAAGCCGTAAGAAACAGTCACCAAATGCCTTTTTAAAAAATCCTTCACATAGTACTTGGTATAAGTCTTCACAATTTTCAACACTTTACATCTACTGAAAAACTAAATTTACTCAAATGCAAGACTTAATATTTGCAAAGACATAAACTTATTTCTCTTAATTTCTGTATTTATCATACACATACTGCCTTTCAACTGTGTGATTCTAAACTTATGTGAGCTCAACAATGAAAAAAAAAAATGGCCATAGGACCATCACAGGCCAATTCTCTATTCCTCCTCCATGCTGGAAGAGGGGCAGGTCACCTGGGCTAAGGACCCATTTTAAGGCAAGATGTTAATAGCTTTAAAGATGCCTGTGGCCTGTAACTTCTTTTGGCTTCCCCAACAGAAGACTTCACCTACACTTCACACAGCTGAGGGTATCACGTACACTCTTAATGTACAGTCATATACTTTCTTTTATTCTACAGAGATTATACTAGTAAAGAGGCCCTTAACTGAAATAAAGTAAGAAGCAGCAGCTTGCACTGCCTCCTACTGTTAAAAGGAAAATTTCATGAGGTCAAAATGGTCCACAAATTGCAGCTTAATGGGAGTTAGGGGTTCATCTTCGTTTTTTCTTTCTAGTATCTATTCCCAAATCAAAACCTCTAGTATTAAGATTCTGCAACCCATACAAATGTACTGCAGAAAACACTACTGGGTATGACTTCAGGACTGAAAATCATCTTCAAACATGTTTTTGACTTGATATGTGATGTAATTAAACAGAACAAAACATTGTGGGGGGGGGGGAAGAAAGAAAAAAGAAAAGTTAAAAGCTCTTCCCTGCCTGGTCAGGAGATTGGAAACTTCACCAAATCTAAGGCAGAATTAGCAGTTGGTTTCTACCCTTCTCTACCCACAGTGAGGTAAACTACTCCCTGTCAGCAGAACAGATTCAATATCCTTCGTATCTTGTAGTTAAGTGATAGTGGCCATACCCCCAGGGCTTCCTAGACCTTTATGATTTTTTTTTTCCATATTTAAAGAGTTGGAAGTAACATCACCCAACTTGTCACTGAGGTTTTTCTGTTGCGGGCATCAAGCACCTGCCCCCATCCACCTCAGCCATGATACTGTATTAAATCACTGAATATGAAACACAGAAACACAAACGATAGTTTTGGCTTTGTTTCTTTAAAAATGACATTTGTATTAAAAGTCTTAAAATGAAGAGACAATGATTAAACGCGTGTCTGGAATTAAAAATTACAGTTAGTTAGAATTCTCTTGGTACATCACAACAGTAAAATTTTGCTCTTTGCTTCTGGAGGAACACCCTAGAACAGATAACCAAAAATTTAAAAAAAAAATAATATAAAAAGGGGAGCTAAATACCTGAACATTTGAACAAAATGAAGCAAAATAAAAAAGAAAGAAAGAAGTGGGGGGAAGCCCATTGCAAGACATGGAAATTACATTTTAAAGGCTGGAAATAATCAAGAAATTCACCAAACAACAGGCCCTATTGTCCTGGCTCCTTCAGGAAGATTACAGAAAGGAAACTAGGAAGTGGTTTGGGGAATAGCAGATTCTGGGATATGGTGGGAAGTTCACAGGTTGGCACCGGCTGAACAGCTGAGTTTTGAAGGCACTCTGCAGACACATGGGTGCTGGGGGCCCTGAATCACATTTTTGAAGTCTTTGTACTGTATTTTAAAGAGCTAGTCATCAAAACCTGTCACTGCCAACCAAAAACAACAAAAAGCTAAACTCAAAAAAAAAAAAAGAATAAAAAAAAACAGAAAAACCACGCACACACACACACACAGGCACACAATAGTACACACAAAAATGTGCAGATCTGTAACATTTTTTTTTCACAGCTGATTAAAAAAAAAATACTACCGTTCTCCCCCAGACTCCCCTTTGATACAGTAGGTAAACAAAATAGATTTTTTTTTCCCACAAATATCAGCAGACACTTTCTGGCACCCCACACTGTATTGGCATCAGTGTTTACAGTCCCAGTTCAGATGTGCATACTTCAGATTGGATACACTGTAACAAGAATCCAACTTTGCATAGACATCCTTAAAATCACAATCAGTCACAGGGTTGCCCTTCCAAGCTGGCAGAAAAGGAACCCCATCTTAATTTCCAGCTACTCCTGGAAAACAAGGAAAAAACCCAAAGTTTTTTCCCTTCCTCCTGCTCCTTCATTTGGTTCTCCCGGACTTCCTTCCATGTATTTAAAACTTGCAACTAGAAAAGGGTTGTTGGGGGGGAAAAAAAAATCCCCTCTCCCTTTCCACCTCCTCCTCGTACTCTTCCTCCCCACCCCATTTTTTTTTTTTTTCCACGCTGAAACTTTCGTTTGCCGGTGTCAAGCTGCCAATACAGCGCCCTAACGGCATTTAAACGGGGAAATATGCGTCAACCAAAATCAATGAGAAACGTACATGCTTCCAAGAGCCACATTTCCACCGGGTGTCGGATGGTGAGGACGGGACACCCCTTCGGACACTGGGCGGAGGCAGGGGACGCCGGCCGCACAGGCCAGCCGGGCTCCCGAGACACCCCGGCCAATGCAAAGTCGTCTCCAATCTCAAAGCAAGAAGAGAAATCACATTTAGAGAGTCGGGTGCGTTTGGCTTTTGTGCGCGGAGCGCGGCCGGCGCGCGGCAGCCGCGGGCGCCTCAGAGGATCACGCAGGCCGAGCAGCAGCCCTCGTCGCCGTTGGGCTGCGCCGCGTAGTTCATCTGCCGCACGATCTCTGCGAACAGCTCGTCCACCGAGGCTTTGTTTTTGGCCGACGTCTCCATGAAGGGGCAGCTCCACTCCTCGGCCAGGGCCTTGCCCTCGCCGTACGAGACCTCTCGCTCGCCCTCCAGGTCCACCTTGTTACCCACCAGGATCATGGGTACACGCTCGTACCGCTTCACGCGGATGATCTGGTCCCGCATGGGCTTGATGTCCTGGAAGCTCTGCTGGTTGACGAGGCTATAGACGAGGATGAAGCCCTGGCCGTTCTTGATGTACAGGTCCCGCATGGACGCGAACTGCTCGGTGCCCGCCGTGTCCAGGATCTCCAGCACCGACGGCGACGAGTCCACTTCAATCTCCTTGCGGTAGAAGTCCTCGATGGTGGGGTCGTACTTCTCGATGAAGGAGCCCGTCACGAACTGCACGGTGAGCGCGGACTTGCCCACGCCGCCCGAGCCCAGCACCACCACTTTGTACTCTCTCATGGCTCCGTCGGCGCTCTCGCCGCGCCTGCCGCGGCCCCGTCGGGGCTGCGCGCCGGAGGAAGCCTGGGTTTGGCGGCTGGGCGACTTCTCCTCTTCCTCAGCCTTGCAGGAAAAACCTAGGAGAGAGCGGCTAGGGAGCGCAGGGCTCAGAAATCACCAAACGGGGGGCCAGGGACCGGGAGCCGGGGGCCGGGACCGTGAAGGCGGCGGCGCGTCCCTGGGGCGCGGGTCCGGGGCCCCGCAGCTGTCCGCGGCGGCAGCGGCAGGCTTGGCGGCGGACCGGGAGGACAATGCCGGCAGCCTGTGCGAGGCGACGGTTGCAGCTCTTCGGTGCGGCCGCCCGGGAGGGCGAAGGGGTGGTGGCGGTGGGCTGCGGAGGTGGCTGCTAATTGCGCGCCGGACAGGGACGCGCGTGGCATGAGTCCCCGTAGAGCGTGCGCCCACCGCCGCGGCCCATCGCCCTCTCTCCCGCAGCCTCCGCGGGGCGAGGGCTTCCTACTCGCCGCGCGTAGTCCGGCCCTCCCCACCCCGGCGAGCATGCCCAGTGCGCCGACGGCCGCGCCCTCCCGATCCTCCGCTCCTGGTTTTCCGGGGGACCAGGCGGGGTGGGGGGGCGGGCCCGAGGGTGGGGCTAACAGTTTGAGTCTGGTGGAGCGGATTGCGAGAGGCTCCAGTCCAGGATCTGTTTGAGAAAGGTATGGGGGTGTGTAGGTGTTTGAGGGGTGCTGGAAAAGCTCAGGTGAGAGGATGAAGGTGTGGGAGGATGGGTTCGTGCATAGGGCGGTGGCTCTGCAAGCAGCGTGTGGGCGCGGAGGGCCGCTCCGGTAATGGGTTAGGTTGTGTTCTTGCCGACTCCCGTTATCAAAAGCTTGTGGACTCCACTCTCCGAGGCCCCAGCGAGTGTGCGTCGTCTCCGGGTCGGAGACCCAAAGGGCATTTGAGTGCGAGAGCAGCGGGTGGAGCATCTTTGCCCATCCACGGAGCAGCTTTTTCTAAACCCTTCGCCTCGGAGACACTACTCGGCCTTCTGCGGCCACTCTGCCTGCAGTTCAGCTCCTCGACAAAGAAAACAGGAACTCAGGGCTGAAATCTTGTCCCGACAGGGGAAGGGGTAGCCTCTCTTGACCGGCGCTCTCTGGGGCTGAGACTTGGAGGGTCCCACCCACGTCCCTACTCGGCTGGGGCGGAAACCCGGCGGTCGGACTACAACCCGATCCAAAAGTCGTGGCGGCGCCCGCAGCTAGTCAGGGCATGCTCAGTGGGCAGAACAGGTTTTCGGGCTTAGAAATAGGAAGCTTTTGCACCACACACCCACACTCCAGCTCAAATTACCTCTCCCAGACTCGGGGCTCATTGGTTCCGGGGCGCAAATCTCACACCCCTAACTGTTGTTTCATTGGCTACCGCCGAGGTTTTACCAGTTTGGGTTGCTTCATTGGCTAAAAAGTAGCCTCGGCTCATGATTGGTTATTTATAGAGATTGAGTTGAGAGGCGGAGGCACAGCTGTTCTTTCTCCGCTGCTCCCCCCGCCCCCTTCCTCCCACTTCCCCAACCTAGTCGTTTTGAAGCTCAGAGTGAAAAAATAAGAGGAATTTAGGCGGAGAGCTCAGAGCTAAATATAGTTCTTTGTTGGTGTTTTCGAGAGAGTCTGACTTCCAAGTGCCCAGTCACGACTGTACCTTAACGGGAGCAGAAAGGTCTAGTTACAGTTCTCGGTCCGCCAGCAGCAGTAAATTTCCAAGTTGTTTTTGCAGGGAGGGAAGTGGGGGAACTAGGGTGTGGAGATGGGCCACTTTGAGTTCGTGTCACCCGGAGGGGTGGGGGAATGCCCAGGCTTGCCCTTATTAAACGTCTCTTCGTTTTGGGCGTGCTGTCTGCAAATTTGGTTGGGCTCGCACTCACGGGAGGTGCGAGGGAGAAGTCTCGACTTGCCCTGAGTCTCCCTCCCTCCTCGCGGAGGAGAGATGTCAAGACCTGTCAGAAGACTCAGCGAAGTTTGCGTGAGCGCTAAAGTGAAGTGGGTAGGAGGGGACTGAGCTGCGTCAACCCGGGCTCCGAGTCTTGCCTTTTTTATCCGATGCTACTTCCCACTCCCCTCGCGCATCACACAGACGAACCAGGCTGTGTGCTAACGTTTGATTTCAGTTCCTTAGTCCCGCCGTGACTCACGGCCACGTTTGCGAATTGACCTTTCCCGAGCTCCTGGCTGTAGCTCAGAATCTGCCGGTCGAAGTCCCCCGTCATCCGACCGGGCGGGACATGGGCGGGGTGGGGTGGTTGGTGCCCATCCCTGCCCCTGACCCCACTATTTAGTGGAGAGAACGGTTTAACCTTGACTATCAGAGAGCCTGGATATAACTAGGCTTATATAATTCTCCAGAAAAGCCTCTCAGAGGCGCATTCACCTAATGCAGCTGAAGAAAACCCCCGCAACATTTACTTACAAGCATTTAATGCCTGCCAAGCGTTTTACATGTTTCATGTACTCCACATAATACTTATTACATGTATTTTAAAGATAAAGAAACTGAGGTCCTGGGATGTTGGTTAACTTGCTTGCCATTTCACAGTCAGTGAGTGGCCAACGTCGGATCCCAGCCCAGGAGTTTCGCTGCCGAACCTGGTTCGTGACTACTAAGCCATACTACCTTCTCGCAAGAAAGCTCCCGGATTTTCCTCTTTCTTAGGTTTGGTCTTCAGGTAGTGTGATCAGACTGTCTCTTAAACCCAAGGGACCTCTGCTCTGTGGTTCTCCTTTTGATAATGCCCCCTCCCATGCAGTCAAGGAACCTGAACCCTCTTCTAGACCATGCTCCAGGGAGTCAGAATTCTGGAATCCTCGCCCAGAGAGTAACAGACCCTCCTCCAGGACTTGGATGGGCCTGTGAACTTAGTCTTGTGTCCAGGAATGGCTTTTTGTTGGAGTGTGGGCAGTGCTTGGACTTGTGGGCTGAGGTGCGCCCTCCCAGGCACTTTGGGCCCTACTAGGTGGGGGAAGAGGACTCAGTAGCATCAGCTCCCCTTCACTGCCCCTTTCCAGCCTCCTACTTGGAAGAGTCCCAGAATTCATGATTCTCACCTGGCCGTCCAGGTTCTTGTAAAGAGGTATTTGTCAGGGTGGGAAGATAGATCGATATTTTGTTAACAGTTCATTCTCTTGATTTATAACTTAAATACTTAGATTACTGCTATGTGGTCCTCTCTTTGTCCTCTTACTAAGAGGGGTTCTCAGTATGACATAGTAGAAAATGCTTTGTCTTTTACAGGTCTGGTGTCTAATCTCAAGAGCTGGATATCAGTTATTAACTACAGGTTCCTTGAGCTCTCCTAACTTTAGTTTCCTGGTCTATAAAATGGTGATAATAAAATTTGCCCTACCCACCTAGCTACATGAAGAACCTTGGAGAGAATCTAGTGACCAAACCCCTCATTTTGTATCAGAGAGAACTGAGCAGAATTAGAACCCTGGTGTCCCAGCTGCACTTTACATGGTGCCAGCCTGTCCTCGGGGATAATAATTAACAGATAATGGATGGAAACATGCTTTTAAAGCTGCAGTACCCCATAAATGCATAGCAATTACTACCCTGCCCCAGGTAGCCCGACAGCCCCATCTAGAAGATTCCACCGTCAGGACTTCAGGTAGTCATGTGGATGGGTATTATTGAATCTTGGCATGAGTACCAGAAAGATGCCATCTTGTGAATGCTTTCTATTAGGGATTCTTCAGTAGTGATTTTTATTACATTCAGGTAGTCTCCCACAGAAAGATTTGCACCAGGGCTTTGGGCTTCAAAATGAAGTAAGGAAATGATGCAGAAATTTTTAAGGTTGGTCACTTCCTGCTATGAAATCTGTTAGATGTCTTTGCCTCACTTATGGCATGAATCATTATCTAGCCTTTACCATAATTATTTACACATCTGTGTCTTGTCACCCAGCACCGTGTGAATGCCTTGAGGGTAGAGTCCTTATCTGGCTTATCTTTGGAGCCACTCTTGTCCCTCATAACACTTAGTACAGTGCCTACATGGGAGGCCCTCCATCAGTATTTACTGATGAATATATGAATCACATTTTATTCCTTTTCCAAGTTCCGCTTGTAGTAGAAGATTATATTAATCCTTGGTGAGACATAACACTTCCTGGATCCTTAGAAAAATGTATACTAATGTTTCAGTCTCCCTGAGTCATAAAAATGACTTTTAAGATCAGCAGAGTCTACCCTTATTTGGGTGAAAGCACAGAATCAGTGCAGTCTTGGAGAAAGGTACCCAACTATCCATTGGATAAACCCTTTCTCTAAAGACGACTTAATTTTGCACATAACATGAAAAGGCATTTCTAGAAAACAATCTAATGTAAAAGTTACCAGGTAAAGACTGCTTAACCATTGACAATGTATGTTGCATAAACGAGTGTACCATCCCTTGGCCTTTGCTCACACAGTGGGACTGCTGATCTTCTGTGACACTGAGGTTGGGTCTTCGAACAGTTAGATGGTACCTGTCCTCTATGTTTGTAGAAAGTAGAGGTTTATTTCATCATGTTTGTAGTTTTAGTTGATGCCTCCTCTGGGTAGATATTTTAACTAGTGTTTTCCTGGAGCACTTTTAAGGTTTCATTTTTTATGGTCCCATTTCACTTTGCTTTTCATTTGAAAGGAGGGCATCAGTAAAGACGGAGAGATTGAAATCCAAGCAATAGGATGTCCACTGAATGGAAGTTTCTGAGGAGAGGACGGAGGAGGAGTCTGAGGACTCAAGTGGGATTGCCAAAGACACATCCTTTCTCTCCAACAGTCAAGAAAAGCCAAGAGAACTGAACTGGAGCTGAGAGAGTGAGATGCTGAGAAAGTTCAAACTACAAGCAACCTTCTCTCCGTAAACAGAAATGGCAAGACACCTGCTGAAGGTTGGGAGGGCAGGTGTGGTCTTGGGAATCAGAGTAGAATGAAACTGTTTTTAACAGTGACTGTGTGGTTTGCAGCGTGAAGTTGCTAAGCTGCTAAATTTGGTTTCCATGAATCTGTGAAGATGCCAATTCTGTGAAGATGCCAGTTCAATTTTTTTTTTTTGGAAGGGTCTTGATAAATCTTCCGGTCAGATTCTGTTAAAATTCCTGAGAGCTATCTTGGAACACTGAAAAAATAAAATTTTAAAAAATTCCTGAGGGCTTTGTATCAACACATACAAATAAATAATTATAAACTTAACTCTGTATCTCCCATATGCCAACCTTCGTGAAAATACACACAAACCACTGACTTATGTGATGAATAGTTTCATTACTCATGGGAAATTAAATGAACTCAATAAAACTGTCTCTGTCTTACCTATGTGGTCTCTTGAGTGTTTCTTTCTGTTGCACGCTAAATTAAAATAAAACCTTGAGTACTTAACCTCAGAAAATGAGTCATTTTGAGTAGTGGAATATTGGTCTAGAAAATGTTGTACTTGTGTAGGGGGTTCTCTAACAATAAGAAAAAGTTTTATTATTTTCATTAGATAAGTAGTATATGTTTACTGTAAGGAATTAATGTATAAAAAAAGCAGAAAGAATAAAGTGAAAATACCAAATGACCCCCCCTAAACTCCCTAACTTATTTTATAGTTTTCTCTTTTGTCTTTTATTTGTATATTTATTTTATAGCTTTCTATTTTATGCCTTTTAATATAGAATTATATAAAATGTAGAAAGCAGTTCTAGTTTTCTCGTGGCTGTTTTAACTTCCAGCTTCACATAGTCTACAGCCAAGAAATTAAAAGTCAAATAAGACAAATATCTTAAGTACTTATCAAAGAATTTTCCTCTTTTACGTAATGGGTTTTGATGGGAGTATTTGTCCCTCGTATGTTCAAGTTGCCCAGGAAGTTGTTTTCTTCACGTAGGCCCTGAGGACAGCCTGGTTTGGGGTAGTCTGCTTGTTTGTCCAGAAGGTGAGATGTAGCATGTTCAGGTTCATGACCTCTGGGCCGCAGAACACAGCAGCCTGTCTGCTCAATTGACCAGTGAATCAAGGGCTTCAGCTGCATTCTCCCCACTGGTTTTGTCTCTCTCCAGAAATGATCTTCCTCTCTGTGGAAAACAGTGCCCTTTGATGTGTCAGCACCATTCAGAGCCTCTCAGTGACTTCAGCATCATTAACACATTTGTGCTTTCTTTGTCACTGCGCACGCAGGCTTCCAACTCTTTTGCCCTAAGTTTTCCCTGGGCCTTACAAGAAATCTGCCCCTCACTCCTTCTGTGTGTCCTACCGTATTTGGAACTGAATTATTCTCAAGTTCACAAATTCTTTATCAGGAGAGAGGAAAAAAAAAAAAAAACTTTTGCTAACATGGTTTAAAGGCTGAAATTTTCTCTCAATCGTTCTCCGTGTTGGATTTGAATAGAATACCAGGCATAAGCAACATTTAAAATTGTATATTCATTGTAATAATGGAATGGAAATTTCTGAAAATTACATGTCTGATAAATCTACTTTCTCATAGAGCCTCATATGTAGTAACATTTCCTATCTTGAATAACACGTTTTCTATAGGGTGACCCAGGCAGTTAATATTTGGTGGCTGGAAGATAGAAATAACATTCACAGACACCACTGTATTTCCTCTGGGTGAGCTGAACAATTTTGTAAAAACAGAATGGTTTTGTTATCCTTGGGAAGCCTATGGTTTTGAGAAGATCCTTCATTAAATGTAAAATAAAATGCTGGGAAAAGGTTGGTTGGACAAGCAAGATTATCTTTGACTCTCCAAGCATTATTTCTACTCTGTAAGCAACAAGTAGCCATTAGGATGCTTTGGGACTGTGCCATGTAACTTCCCAAATATGAAGCAGTCTATTTTTATTCTGTTTAATTCAGGTACACTTTTATTAGTGATAAAGCTACAAGTTAAATTAGGCCAACTTCATATAACTTTTACGTTTCAAGAATTACAGCTTGAGCCTAAGGTGGTTTCATTCTAAGATGTGGGCAAGCCAGGGAGGAAGGTCCCAGGCAGTAAATCAGGCCAGCGAAAGCATGCTGTTGTAAGAGACTGAGGTACCACTGGAGAAGAAAGGGAAGAGATTGTTGAGGCTCATAAATGCCATGCAAGGAGAGCAGGAATAATCAGAGAGAAAGAGAGATATCTGTTCAATGTAGCGCTCTCCTCTCAGGTTACCCCTTGGGGCTGCCCTGTTGAGACTCCCTAATGGAAAGAAAAGCAAGTGCGATGGAGTAGCAAGGTCTTCAGACCACTGAGATGCCAACAGCGTTTGGCCCACAGCGTCTGCAACATTTGTTGCTGGGGCCTGCAGTTTTTGGCAACTGCAGCCACTACAGAGGGTCCTGGGTGGACTTCTATAGCAGCTCATATCTCATCACTGGATAGCCACAGAAAAAATAGTCACTTTCGGCATTGTCACGGCAGTTGCGGCAAAGACCTCAATATAATGAGCTGACACAGGAGCAAAGGGAATGGTTCAAACCACAGAGCAGTCAGGGAGGCTGGTCAGGGAAAGGTCAGAAGAGACGCCCATAGAAGGTTCCAGCACTATTTGCAAAAAATTAGCTTCCCACACTGTTGTTAAAATCTAAGGAAAAATAATAATTATAACACACATCACTGTGGCTGTCATATCCCTCAGTTGGCCTAATGTAGGAATTTAGGTTACGTGGCAAATTGTTTAGAAATACGTTTTCTTAACAAGCCACAAAACTTTTCTAACACCCCCTCTTTCCCTTAGGATTTGCTGATCTTATTTTTAACATCTCCTAAAGTTGCCTCACACTGAAAGAATTAGAAATACTTATGGCTGCACTTAACTGGAAACTCAACTAAGGGATGGAGAGGCCAAAGAAATAAAAGTTTCTTTCTCACATAACAAGAAGTCTGGAATTGGAGTTCTTCTGGATGTGGTTCAATAGCTCAGTGAAGAGAAATGAGACCCACAGATCAATCTGCTTTTGTGGCAGGAAGAAGGTGGGGCTGGGAGGGAGGGGCCAAGGATGCAGAAGAAGGACCTTCTGCTTTATCATGAAACAAAAGCACCAAGAGACTTCCCGTTAAATTTCCCTGACCAGTTCTGCACTGCATGCTCTTCTAGTTGCAAAGGAGCCTGGGAAAATTCCCATTTAACCTTTCCACCTTTTACAGTGAGGGAAGACAAGAGAGAAATAAATAAAGAATGGTCTTGTGTACGTCAACCTACAGTGTTTAAGCCAAAAGCCATTCACCCTTCTGAAACTTCAGATTTTTCAGGCAATTGAATTTACACATTATTTTTTCATGCCTGTTCAATCAATATTGGGTGAGAGGTAAATACAATCCCTTATTTGTTCATTAAAAAAAAAATCACATTTAAAAATCCTTATTTGTTTTCAGGTCTGGTTATGTATACGATATCATGCTTTGGGTAACCTAACTTTGGTTTACACAAAAATCTGCAAACAAAACAAAACAAAAAAACCTTTTAACAAAATTAAGTCTTTCATGTCCGGCAAATCCTATGCAGTAGAAGGAGCATTGGAATTTTAGACTGACAGGCATACTTTCAAATTTTGGCTCAGTCACTTCCTAGATGTAAAACTGGATGACTTATTTATCTTCTGTGGTAGCCAGTCTACAAGATGGCTTCCACTGTTCCCACCTCCTGGCATTCATACCCCTGAACCCTCTTACACTGTTTCAGTGTTGAACTGTGTTACCAATGGACCATAATACAAGTGATGGTGTAAGTCTTCTAAGATTAAGTTATAAAAGACTGCAGCTTCTGCCTTGGGTTTGCTCTCTTGCCGCGTCTTCAGGACATCCAGGCAACAGTGTGGAGAGGCCCAGGTGACTAGGACCTGAGGTTCTTAGTCCAGCTGCTGTGAGTAACTGAGGCCTGCCAGTCGCCCAGAAAGTGAACTTGGAAGTTAATATGTTCCAGCATTCAGATGACTGCTAGGCCAGCCACCAGCTTGAGGACAGCCTCATCAAAGAATCCAGAGCCAGAACCATTCCACTCAGCTGCTCCCGGAGTCCTGACCCTCAGAAACTGTGAGATAATAAGCCTTCCTTACTTTAAGTTGTTAAATTTGTGGTAAGCTGTTGTACAGGAAAAGGTAACTAATTGAACTTCTTTAAACTTCAGTTCCTCATCTGTATAGTGAGGATATAAATGATTGTTATGAGGACAGTATGGTGCCATATGTGAAACTGCCCAATGCAGTTCCTTCAACATAATAAGGACACAGAAAAAAATTAATATGACAAATATTTGTTTGTAATCATTTTTCACAATGTTTACCCTTTTCAGAACACCTTTTTATTTTGGATTAGCGGCGTTTTTAAAAAACGCTTCTGCCTTTTGCTTTTCCTTAGTGATAGCGCGGAATGCATGCTGTGGAACAAGACTGGCTCCATGGTGTTGCCTTAGCACTCTACCGCACCAGGCATGGTTTTGTTAGTTAAGGTCACTTGTGTTTAAAACAAAAAAAAAAAAAAAAAAAAGTCACGTGTGTTTAATAATGACTGTCTCTCCCAGAATGCTAATCTGTAGTGTCTGATAGACCTTCAGTGGGTTACCAACGAAATAAAACACTGCTGTAAATAGATCCTGTCTTCTACTAGAATACTTCTGGTTATTTTATTTTGTTTTTTAAAAGATTTTATTTATTTATTTAGAGCGAGCACATGCGGATGTGCTCAGAAACACTTGCGAGGGGGAGGGGCGGGGCCGGAGGGGGGCGGAGCCGGGGGAGCAGGGGCGGAGGGAGAGGGAGTGAGAGAATCCCAAGTCAACTGGATGCTGAGCAGGCGGTGGAGGCATGGGTGGAACTCAAGACCCGGAGATCCTGAACTGGGCCGAAATGCAGAGGTAGACGCTCACAGCTGAGATACCCAGGAAGCCCCTAGACTTCCGGTGAATTTAATAATCACTCAGAAAATGCAGCGCCAATCACGGATATAAGGGGTACATGGTAAAAGTGACTGCCCACTACCCTCTCAGCAGAGTATCTAGGTTTTCTCTGCTTTGTCTCCAGTCCTCGCCCCTTGGCACTGCCCAATCCTTGTCTAATCACAGACGCCAGGATCCCAGCACAGCTGCCACCAGCTTTGCCGCACAGCCTCAGGTCGTCTCTGCTATTTTTCCTTTTCCTTTTAAAAAATTACTTTCTTACTTGTCTATACTACTTCCATTTAAAAAAAATCACACTCATTTCTAGTCTATGCTACTATTACACCTGAGTTCATGCGCACCGTAAGAAGTATATGTGAGCAACATAAAAATGTATAAATCACACATATGTGTGCATATACATATAAATGTGTGTGTGTATAATTAGAATACTTTTT